CTGAATTTTACGGAGACTTGCCACGGTCTCCAACCCTCCTCCTTTCTCATCCGGGCTTGGGACCGGCCAGGGCGAAGTTTTCTGTGTTAAAGTCGATCCTCGTCTTGATGGTCACATGTGGTCATGAGTGGTGGGCCATAAATTAAAAACTTCGATCCGTAGTAAAAGCGGTTGAAATGAATTTTATGTTGGCCTTATGAGCCTCTACATCGTCAGGAGTACAGATGACCGAAAGAGCACACGTGTACAGCCGTGGCATCGCAGATTAGGAAAACAAAACGGCGATAATTTGGGCACGTACTGCGAACACCTCCATAAAGGAAGTCGAAAGAGCCACAGGGTGCTCAACTGAAGACCCCAGGGACGGCCAAGAATAACCTAGCACAAGGGTATCGAAAGACTCTGATCCGGACACGGTTTATTTTCTCAAAACACAAAACCTGGCATAGGATAAGAAACGCTGAGAATACGAATAGATCCTGATGCTTCAACGACCCTATTGGAATATCGATGACCGACCGACTAATATTTATAGGATTACTATGATGCAGAGATTTAATATGGTAACTAATAATAATAATTTCGTCAGTAGCTTTATGCTTTTCCGGTTCCTTGGAACATAATGACACAACCTTGACCTGGTCAGAAACTTAGATATGTCTGACCGAAGTGCTGATCATAGTCTAGTATCTAATAGATCGGCTGCGTGCGCTGTATGATAGAAAAAATTCTTATTCTTTGAATAAGTCGGATGCCATTAATATGAGCAATTTCAAATCCTGTTTAGTTTAGGATGACGGCGACAACAACAAATGTGTGACGTAACAGTAGATTTTCCGTTATCTATAAATACCACACAAAGTGATCATAAATGTTCCGAATCAAGAAACTGGTCACCGAAAACGTTGTGCCGAAAAAGTTTCAAAATTTTGTTTGCTGCCGCCTCCATATTCAACGCCGAAGCCACATCTTGCCGAAAAAATGCCGATTCAAAACGGAGGTTGTGGCGCAGAGCAACGTGGGCCAAAAGTTTCACCACGTCGTCGGTCGGACCGTCGAGTTCCAGCTGCTTAACGTACGTGAGGTTGCCGTACTTGTTCCAACGGTAAAGCAGGTAGTCGACCAGCATTTCTCTGGTAATACGATTTTCGGCTATTGATTCGCAGATGGCCAATTTCAATATGCTTTCTGGGTCTTGCGAAGCCAAGCCCGGTGTTAACACGCCTGGCGTGTCCAGGACGTAAATCGGTGGAGTTTCGCTAACGCGGATCTTCATCAGTACCGACCGAGTGACACCGGGATTTTTGCCCACCGCCGAGCCTTTGCCGCGGTTGGTAAACGTCGATCTGAGGGCGTTTATCAACGATGACTTGCCGACATTCGGAACGCCGGTGACCATGAACGCATAATCATAGCTAAGCTGTCTGTTGAACCGACCTGAAGCGGTGATCACCTCCTGGATCAGTTTGATCAGCCGACGGCAGGCCTTGAAATAGTTCGTGTTGAAACTGGCAAACATCAAGTTCGACACCTGGTAACGGCGACGCATAAGCTCTTCGATTTTCGAACGGTACTGGTCCGAAACAAGCTCAGCCTTGTTCAGCACCAGGATGTAAGGTTTGATCCGTCGAAAGACGTTCTGAAAGTCCAGGTCGCGACCGCTGAATGGAATGCGTGCATCGTGCACCTCCACGATGCAGTCAACGCTTCGCAGCTTGCCTTGCATCTGCTTCAATCCAATGGCCATGTGCCCGGGAAACCACTGCTGCAGTTTGAAGTTTGGCGGTAGAACAAACGCTGACCGACAGATCGGCCGGCAAGCCTGCGCCATTGAACCTAAAACAGTTGAATTATCAAAATCAAAATCGGTATCGCAATGTCCAGCTGCTGCTCGGATCAAAATAACTGAAGTCAAATCAGTTTACCATTCGATACTGTTAAGGTGTTCCTTGAGTTTTATGCTGAATAGAATCAGACAATCTCTTGAGAAGACTCTGAGTGAAGAACAGCCTCAAATTAGGGCAGGTAGATGACGTTTGGACCAGATATTCACGATGAACCAACTAATGGAAGGAACGAAAAGAGAATGGAGATCCAAATTCCTTGCAACATTCGTGGATTTCACCAAAACGCCTGACTCATTCTTAAGAGACGCCTTGTAGAAAATTGGTGAACAATACGAAATGACGCCAAAAGGTTATTCGCATAATTAAAAAACTGTATGATCTATTGACGAGTGCAGTGCGAAATGATAGCACGATCAGCAATTTCTTTGTATGTAAATTTGGAGTACGACAAGGAGAAACAGAATCTCCATCGGTCTTTATCATATTTATTAAATGAATATTTCGGCCAATGCGAGAGTGAAACTATTGCGGCAAAACTGGGCAACATATGCATAAAGTCTCTTGCATTTGCTGATGATACTGTATCCCTTGTAGACGACTTCTACGCTGCGGCATCACTGTTCCTAACTCTAAAACGGCTCTATGGTATTCTCATCCGGCAATCTCGATTAACTTAAAAAGTCGAAGTGGACGGAAATCGGTAAAACCCGGACGAAACACAGTTCGACCCTAGACACCGAAATTATGAAAAAGGTACCAAAGTATCTTGGGAGTACAATGGCTGTCGACGGACGAGGTGACAAACTAAGTTAAGAGATTCAGCGCGTTGGCATTAGCAGCGAGTAACAAGTTATGCGAGCTCTGGAAGGACAAAGATGTTGGCAACAGTACCAAGTACTGCGGAAGTACAGAACCTGAATTCTGAACATTTTGAAGACAGCAGTACGTAACGGAGCTGACAACAGAAAACTGGAAGCGATAGAAATGAAGATCTTAAGATCAGTACTGGAAATGTTGTGATATGATCTGCTGCTGTAAGGAAGAGATATCCAACGATATAAATTCGAAGATAGAATATCCAACGAGAGCTACCTCCTGGCAGCAAACAAGGCGCTTAAGATGGTGGGGCCATAGCGAACGAATGAACGATACCCGCATTTCAAAAAAGGCACTAAACGCAATGCCTTATGTCTGACGGCCCCCAAGAAGACATCCAACTAAATGGGATGAATGAGCAGGGATTTTTTCGGTTCATGGAGAGGAATGCTTGTACGATACGCGAGGTCGTCTTCAATGCGATAAGAAGGAGTACCAAACTGGGATATCGTTTCAGACCGGCAGACATCATAGATCTGAGCTAAACCACTTTTCAAGCCTTATTAGCCTTGATAATCATGACCACAAGAGTAAGGTCTGAACACGTCCCTTGGCGATTCGCAAGAAGGAAGCAGTGAGATG